TGGTCTTGAAATGTGGTCATCAAGATGAGAGCCACAGCGTCAGCATGCAACTTGACAGATGTTATTGATTGGCAGCCCTGAATCAGTCAGTCATTTGTCCATTCCATGTTGCTTTTCTGCAGGCAGATCTCTGAAGGAATCCTTTGTTATATCTGGTTAGAAATACAGTCAAGACAAGGAGTTTTTGTTTCTTAATCCTTCCTCAAGATGGACTTCATGGTCGAATGGCACCTATTCCGTCAAAGAAGAATGTCGTCTTGATCAACATCCTCCTCACAGATATCAAAGGTATCATTCATATTATCTTCCATAAATGTCAAGGAGTCTTCTACTTTAACTAAACTAAGTATTTTCTAGCTTCAACATGAAAAAAGCAACCGATAATGGTCCCAATAGTGACCTAATCTCAATTATTTTTCTCTTTCTATAGATTTAAGTACTGAAAGCAAATTGAACACTGGATGTGTACCTCAATGCTAGCACACCTGAAACAGCTAGTTGACAGTTGTTAATCTTTCATAGGGTGAGTAATTTTAGGATACCTCCAGACTTCTAACATTTACATCCTACTAATTAAAAAGAAATATGGTTTTGTAACGGTGCCTCGTTCCAGTGCTGTGCTATGAGGATACAAATCCTTCGGATGTAGTTGAGGAAACCCAAATAAGACGGGAAGGTTGTATGTAAAAGTTGCATGGAATAGACCAAAAGAAAGGTTTCATTGAACAACTTTTATTTTCCATGATGCTGGTTAGAATGTGCTGCACAATAGTATTAACGTTTACATGTTTCAGAATATACTACTGAAAAAACAAAATGAGTAGTTAAAAACTATTTAAACAACTGTTCGTGTCAGAATGATCTGTTGAATAGTGGTTCTTATTAGACGGGGTTAGGGGAAATAATCTTGTTTACCACTAGTCTCTGAATCGCTTAAATTAGTTATTAAATGTTGGAAACCTGCACAAAAGAACAGAATTGTTATTGCTAGGTGCTTGACTCTGTGTGTGCATATGTGTATGAGTTCACCTACTGCAATGGAACGGGTAGGGTGTACACGGAAGTAAATTATTCAGCGTCGACTCGAAGCCACTGTTCAATGGAGCTTAGTAAGGAGTAATCAACACCGATGACAAATTCAGTCCGAAAACAGTCAGTCAGCGGTGAACACGTGAGCTTACAGACTCTCACAGAACACTGCCGGTATCCGGTATGTTACCATGTTACATTTATGGGAGTGGGACTGACATTAACGGTCATTCTAACGTTCAAACAGTGTGTGTATGTGCGTGAAATGAGTAGTAGTATTTTGATCTAAAGTGTCATATTAAGCATATATAGCAACATGCCGAATACTGTCAGTGTAATGTTGAACTTGGATACCGACGTCTTATTCCGCATACTGTTTGTTGCCTTCCTCACTGACAACGACTCAAAAATTCCATCACGTATTCTTCACTGTTCAATATCTGTTTACTGTATTATCAAGTTTACATTAGAGAGAAGGAAGCTGATTCTAAGAAACCCATATCAGAAGTGAAGTTGAAAAGCTAAGACAATGGATCGTTATAAAGGTTCATTCATAGAAAGCCCATGTGGAACGAACAATTGAAGAAATTTTATAACCGTGTGTCTTTAGACACCAACTAAAATCTAAACCGCTCATTATATTACAGAGTCCACTATATCCGCAGTCTTGATACTTCGGAAGATGAACTGAAGTACCTAAAAAGTGTATCCTGTGCGTTAAATTCCAAGGACTGTGAAACTGGTGCAAGATAATCATTCTACTTCCACAGTTGCTAAGATGACTTTTTTCACGAATTTACAGTTCAGCAGAGACATATAAGCGTAAATCTTGAGGAACCGTCTGGTATCCTCATTCAAAAAGATTTCCTATACTGCCAAACTCAGAATAACATTCTCTCCATACCCAATGCATCGATCATGCCTAGAGGACAGTCTATCTAGCTCTCTCAGCAGCCTCCATGTATGCTCATCAATTCGTCTTCTCCTATGGAGTAAGTTATACAGGTCTAACGCCACATTCACTTTACCTAAGCATTTTTGAGAATATACTTGTGTGGTCCCACGAACGAAACAGGAGAACACCTCAGAAATATCTCTACTTTAGAACATTTGATCGATTCTGACCAATCGATAAATGCAAAAAGCAACTTCAGCATTATCCATAGGGTTTGTGAAAGGATCATAAAAGGTATACAACTGAAACTTCTTTCGGCAGTCGAAGAGTGGGCCTCGTAGCTTAGTTGATAGAGCACCGGACAGGAAAATCGGTGACCGCTTGTTCGAATCCCGCCGCGGTCCAGATTTTCATTCCACCCTCAATTATCGCCCAGTATCAATCTGTGTTTTGAAGCCTCAGTAAGAGCTGAACTCGGAAAAGGTTTGTGCAGTCGCTTAAGTTGCAGCCGATATCATGTATGAGAATATTTTATGCTCATTATCTTTCATATTCTTCCACTGCTAGAATTTTGATTCACCAATCTCTGTTGTAACCACATTATGTCATTCAACTTAGAAACCGAACGTTGCTTCCGTATCGAATGTCTGACTCCAAAGGCCATCCTAACAACTGCTAAGATGACCAATTACCTTACTTCAATTTAGGAATAACTATGTTCCCAATCGGAACACTGAAACCTGATTGGTTTTTTCAGCAGTTACTAGGGTGACTGTCGAAATTACTCTTGGTCTTGGTAAGTCTTCCTTGCATAACTAGAGTCTGGATATTACGCAATTCTTTGCTCCACCTCCCAATTTTTAATCGAAACTGAATTTTACTTTGAAAAAAATACTTCATGAAGCATCTATTTTCTGTTGCCGTGAGAAAATATAATATTTATATGCAATTGCCCAGCATGAGGATGGCATTAATAAAAAAAGAGTGACTCTTCACTGAAGAACGTCATTTCGTTGACAACAATCGTCAGTTACTGACACTGTCAAATATCTTATTTATTCTTATGTAGTCATCCATTCCCGTTGTTGATGGCACCGAATTGATCCACCTTCATTGGCATATGGGTTCCTGTGTGTATGCCTTGATATTGCTAGAAGTTTTAGTTTGATAGTAAGGTTGCACAGTGGTTAGCAGAGGGATCCAGGATACACGTTTCCTTCACTTAGGAGTCGTCAGCTGCATGTTCTGCTGTCACTGTAAAATCTTAGAAACAGGCGCACATACACACACATCCTTTGACCGTATTGTATGATATTCCACATGACTGTTCATGTTGTTTTCACTAAGTTTCCATGAGTTATGAATCTTTAGTCTCTGTGAGACAGACAGACAGACAATGTCAACATGGAATATGGTATTGTAGCGTAGTGGTACAAATTGCCTCACCTCATATGAGTACACCAGGCGAGAATGTAACACTCTTCTCTTTTCATGGAAACTTGATATTTTTTAACTGATCACTTATCGATTACTGATAATTGCAATTATGATTTGTGATCACTGATGTTGACATTACTTCCTCAAATCAATATACTACTACTACTACTCACACTACTACTGTTATTTCTTATTTCTAATCTTTTTCTCTCCCTCCAAAAACCTATTAGCCTACACTTGAACCATATTCGACACTAATGTCTCATCTTAATACTTTCAAGGAACTTGTTTACTTTCCGGTGGGTACGTTGCGGTTTCATGTTGTGTTGTTCACTCAACAACCGCATCGCCAGTTAGTTCAACCATCTTGGTTGACTTGGAAGATTTAACTCATACTGAATTACGTTTTGATTTGGTTCACCACTCGTCCAGATCACTTGGATGCCACCTATATGTCTATAGTAGGTTACGTAACCAAACTTTCTAAGACTCCAATTTTAAGCGAGATTATAGATGAGTGTAAAATATGAATTAGTCATCATTAGAAGTTGACACAACACTGAAGTGTACTGGATTTTGATGTTACGTGATCGGAGTCAATCAGTAGGAAGCCCTCACTCACTCAGATTACTTACTTTTCGGCGCTCATCAGCCACACATATTAGTAAACATAAGAAAACTGATGTCATATTAGTGATTATGGGCTACGCCACTAAGTGTTGAAGTCAGGAACTTACTCCTTATGACGAATGTCAAGTATTTCGAAGCCTTCGTACAGAGCTTCCTGCTAGCTGAATCCTATCGAGATAAAATATCGACATTCAATAAGACTGGTAGTCATCGAATATAGTTACAACAATCTTTTAATTGTGGTAATTTGTTTGGTTATGGCCTTGGGACTCGTCAGCTGAGCCCCTGAGGTGCGAACGCCGTACTCACCGCTCCAAACGCCAAGACGTTAACCAGTATGCTACGGAGGAACAATAGCCGCTTCTTGTACAACGGCTATTAGTTACTATTATCTGCTGATATACTTGTGGTTCTCCGTCAGTAAAGTAGATAACACCATGGTGTTTGAAGCGGTGGGCACGGAGTTGGAGTCTGAGTGGGAATAACATCACTCACCGAAGTACAGGTACATCCAGCTGATGAGTCCCAAACAAGACGAAAAGCGAGTCCTAAATTCGTCTGCTAGCCACAATCAACCAAATTACCATAATTAACATCCAGGCAATATCAAGGCATCCGCCAAAGAACCCATATACCAACAGACGTCAGTTAATTCAATCCAACAATGGGGAAATGATGAGTATTACAATAAATAATAACCTTACTTCACTTTATGGCTGCATGTATCCTTTCAGATGTAGTAATAATTAATTGACTCATAGTATTTTTAGTAAAGTTGCCACTTTTACACTTTTGATTATTATTCAAAGAGTCTCATGAAATTAATCGATAGCATTTACCCTAATTGAATAACCATTAAAATCATTCAGACAGACTAATATCTCATCAAAATATATCAGAAAATTCTTCATGTTAATTGGATAATTTTGAAAATTTTGATTAGTAATCAAATTTTAATAATCATATATAAATTTCAGGGTTAATTTTGTTATTTTCGATTTATTTAATACTATAGTATGGTACCGGAGACTGATGGAGTCAATTCTCTCTGTTTGAATGCATTACAACTATGCACTGTTCACGAAGACAATAATCCTAGTATACTGTCGAATGATGCATTCTCAAGGGCCTCATCAACTGAAGAAGTATTCCTAGACGGTAAATGGTGTGAAGTTACAGGATCAAATGTTAGTCTATTCGATTCATCGACTTCAAATAAGATTATGAGTCCTACATGGGTTCCATCATTTCGTTCCAATGATGGAGCATCGTTGAATGTTACACCACAGAAAACACTGATGCAGAATATTCAAACAAATATGGATTTAGTAGAGAATGAATTGGTAACGTTAATCAGCAGTTTGAATGTGCATAAAGATGAAGATCAAGATGAGTACAGTCCACTGAACGATGACCTATGGAAAATTAAGCCAGCTGTCAGCTGCAGTACACCATCGATTGGCACTAGTAGTAACGCCTTCAATAATCCGCTAGATTTTTCACCACCACCATTACCATCACGGAGAATGACTTCCAGTCCTATTTATACATCATCATTACCTAATCAGGATGAAGTGAATTTATTTTTTCCTATATACCCAGCTATCAGTAGACCAATACAATCACCAATTCCTCAACAAAGAGCTCATTGCGTAAGTTCATCAATAAACACTATTCAACAAAACAGAAATACTCGTCGATTTAAGCCATATCCACCAATACAACGCATTCCATCAAACACAGATTTCAATCAATCTCACAGTCTTCTTGAAAGGTCATTTTTGCAATCGAATCAATCTGAAAATTTCTTGGCATCAACAGAAACCGGAGCTCTACAACAGTACAGACAATTTCTAACCCCTCAAAGCAGTGTAAAAAACAGAGAAGGTTGAGGAATAAGAGTAATTTCTATCGAACATGAGAGATACTGTGTGTGTCTGATACTCAACTATGTGGAATGCAAATGAATAAACAGGTACCTTGAATATGATCGAGTGTTGTAAAACAAATATGTTATGCTTTTTCTGATAAATTCTCATCATAATGTTGGGTTTTCTTTTTTTCCTACCTTCTAAGTGCGTTCTAATTAAGATTGTCCGCATTCAGGTTTATCATTTCGATGATGTAGGTTAGAGTTGAAGAGAGTTGCTCCAGTCGCTAAAAAGTCGTGCTGAGTTCACACAACCCAGTCCAAAGGCATAAAAAACTCGAAATTGTTGCAAATACTTGTGACTCAGGGGGTAGACATCCGGAGTGAGTTTGTCCTCTGAGGAGCTGGGACTCTAGTTGCCAAACGTTACAATTCCATACTGGAAACATTGTGGTCAATGCACCAGAGCTTTATAAGGGTGTCTTGCCTGACGCCGGAACATCTGTCAACTAAAACTGAGTTCCTCAGTGAATAGTTTGCGCATAAACAGGAAACTCGATTACCAGTAGAGTTGAAGAACAAGAAAGCTGTTAGGATTACTACAGTTGCGTGAATACCAGTCACTGCAACTCTCTGAATTAGGCATTGCACAAACTGCGTAACAGCGAACTAAGCGTGTATGTGTTAAAACTTTCAAATGGCGATCTGGGCGTTCGAAATTCTTTAACCTCAGTTGGATTACAGTGTATTGTCATTTCTGGATAGCGTCCGGGATTCCGCTGGTAGTCACTATATAACATTACTATTTAACTGGAACTTCCAGCAATTTCGAGGTATCCACATTGGACCTTGTATGTCAATATAGGCCGATCAATTCGGTTCAACCAACAATAGCAAATTACCAGCAGCAGCATCAAAACTATAACCGCTGTGGAAGGAGTGGCTGTCATGACTGAGTAGTCTAGTGGGTAACTTCCTAGCATTAGAAGCGATGCATTCTGGGTTCAAGTCCCGATAGGGGACAAAATCACTCACTCCCAAATAGGAAGAAACGTGTCCTACTTTCCACTCCTAACCACAACCCATCATTACTGTCGAATATGAACAAAAACATTTTTGTGCCTGGGAATTTAAAGCAAGGTAATATCTATAGTACAGACTTACTATGAATTGAACATACAGACTTATGTAGTTGACGAAAGAGGGAAATTAACATCTAAGCTGTTTCGGTAACTTTATGACGTAGGATAGGGAAAGTAATATCGTATATCTAAGATTATACGTTATCGGATGAGTGACGAATGTTGAGTATTTTTAAAGGCTACCCTAGGGTGTTAGGTTAGAAGAATGCTAAATGACTACAAGGTCACAGGTCAGATGGAGAAGCAACCAGTCAAAAAATGTACAGTCAAAGGAAACAACTAATCAGAAACTACTTCATTAGGGTAAGCTACTGAATCATGCACGCCGAAATATTGAAAGCTGACCTCATACTGATGTTATCTAGAGAGATAATGACAACTTCATAACCGAACTACTGAACTGAAAAACGCAAATTAACCGTAGAAAATCCTCGTAGTGATTTCAAGGTCCCTTCCTTATATGGTAACACCGTGAAGGTTTTGAATTCACTCATTCTTCTTGGAATGAACACTAAATGTGTGCAACTGAAATGAATAAGCACCAAATATACTGAAATCTGCATTACCTATATCACAAAGAAAGATAGTGAGAACTAGAAGCAATATAAACGATGAGTCAAAGTTGTGAAATTATCCTAATATGACTTTGGATACTAAACTGTATCCGAAACGTAATCCAGTAAAGAGTAACTCTGCTTCATTGTGTGTGACACAAACTAGAATGGAGCATTTAAGTGATGAATAGTCATTGGACGCTTTACGGGATTATTACACAAAAATCCTCTCATAAACTTCTACTATCATTTTTGCGGAAATTTTGCACTTCCCATTTACACTTGATAGACGCTCCACCATTCAAGGTATATCCAAACTAATATGCGTAGATTTTCATGCAGTCCTACATGGGAAGTCACGCTTGATTATGTAAACTGATTTGAGGAGTTTCAGCAAAATTATCCTGTTGAATTAAGATAGTTGTAGGAGGGTGATGCGCAAACCCTAATAATCCAGAACAAAATCATTCAAATTGATTATCTGAGCAATACTGCATATACGGAATATAATACAGATAATAATAATGATAATTATCGCCTACAACTGTGGCGCTTGCATGCGGGAAATTCACTGGATCAGTTAAAAGGATCCAACTGAATAATTTGCAAATAATGTACAGTTAGGGACAGGTAGCTTACTCCTTCAACCAGCAGACTAACCGAATCACGTAGACCAGTTCATACAGAAAATTAATCAGAGAGATGAAGACGACCAATCAGTTTGAAGGTAACAAGGCGATAGTGGTAGGCAGGTATAAGTGAGTCAGACTCATAGCAAATACAGAGAAAGTGCCAGTCGGGCAGAAGCGAGGGGATGGGTAGTTGTTTTTGCGCTTGGACCAACAAAAAAAGACAAACAGGCATAGCATATTTAACAGACAGATTGCACAAGTGAGTAGATATCGGTGGTTAGGGATCTCAGGTGGTGACATATCTCAGAACCAATCTTATTAGCTCAAATGTATCCACACATTATCGTCATCCCAAAATTATTTCCTCCTTAGTTCATACTGTCTTTTCACGACTTTATATTACTTTTGACTCATTCCTTCTTATTTCTTTGTCTTTCATTTTAATGCATTGTGGGTGCATGTGCTGACATGAGGTCCAGCAATTTGTACAGACATTCAGTGATGCCAGGTCCAGTCTTGATATTACATTGACATTGAGTTCTAGTGTAGTATCACTGCATTCAGCATCGTTATTACCTACGTGTTATTCCACTCGGTCACTTCACCACACTGACTCACTTGCAGTTGTGCTTGTGCTCACATACATGTATCGATGTCAGTGATGACATATCATGTCGTTTGGCTGCCTACAAGCTGATACTCATAAATTCTTTGACTCATTCGACGATTGAATTGGTCAACATACAGTGATGTTGACAGTCCTTACAACTAAATGTTTGTGTTCTTTGGGTAATGGATCCTTCAGTCTTGTAAAGATTTTGTTGGTTTGTATGCCACACTGATAAGGTCAAGAAGAGGAGCAGATGTAGGTTCAGACCACTATCTAGTGCAAGGAACCTTCCAAATCAAGCCGAAAGCCTTCAAGGAAGCTGGTGATAGACCACAGTTCAAGTACAACATTCGGAAACTGAAGGATGAAACTACAAAGGAAATCTTCACGGCAGCCAGACATCAAGACAAAATGGGAGATATCGAGCAACATCCCTGAAGGAACCTGTGTGGAAGAACACTGGAAGTCTTTGAAAGAGATGTGGAAAGAAACCTGCACAGCCGTATTAGGAAGGAAGAAGAAAGAAGATAAGGAGTGGGATGGATCTCAATGGATACATGGAAGCTGATAGATCAGGGAGAGGAGGATGGTGAAACAGAAGATAAACCAGTGCAGTGCAAGGATGCTCAACGACAAGAGGAACTGAGTACAATGTATAAAACACTACACTGGACAAAGAAGTGAAGAGTGAATGGAAAGGCAAAAGACACGTCTACGAAACACTGGCTAGTGAAGCAGAACAGGCTGCAGGTAGGAGAGACAGACACCTGACAACATTGTATCAAATAACCAGGTTACTTGCTGTCTGGGAAGAGATCAACACAGATGAAACCAAAAAAAGATGATGAAGGAAATCTAATTAGCAAAGAAGAGAAACAAAGGAAACAATGGGCTGACCACTTGAAGAAGCTCTTGAATCGACCACCACCACCCACACTTCGTCCAGAAGTACCACCTACAGCCCAGCCACAGAACTACAAGTGAACATAAATCCTCCAACGAAAATGGGAGTCCTGAATGCCATAAAGCTACTGAAATTTGGGAAAGCAGCAGGACCAGATGGGATCCCACCAGAAGCACTGAGAACAGACGCAGAGACAACAGCGGACATACTCACACCACATCACTATTGCAGAAGATGTGGAAGGAAGAGAAAGTACCTGCCTGTCGATTGGAAGAAGGGTTACCTTGTCAAACTCCCGAGGAAGGGAGACCTCAGTGTTTGCAAGAACTGGCGTGGAATCACTCTCCTGTCCACCCACACCAAGCAAAATATTAAGCCGCATCATTCTGGAGAGACTAAAGGATGCACTGGATTCAAAACTACGACCGGAACAGGCTGGCTGGCTGGATTCAGGAAGTACAAATCATGTGCAGACCAAATTGCAACGCTACACTATGCATCATCATAGAACAGAGTGTAGAATGGCAGTCAACTCTACACCTCAACTTTATCGACTTTGAGAAGGCCTTTGACAGCGTCGACCGAGAGGTGATTTGGAAACTGCTTCATTACTACGGAATACCGCAAACCTTTATCAGCCTCATTCAACAACTATATGAAGATGCCACATACCAGCCAAGTAATTCACAATGGGAAGCTCAGTAATGCTTTTGAAGTGAAGACAGGAGTGAAACAAGGCTGCCACCTACCATCCCCCATGATATTCCTGATTGTGGTCGACTGGATCATGCAGCAAACAGTGGGGAGCTGTGAGAAGAGGGGGATACACTGGCTGGATTGCGGAAAAGAACCTAGAAGATCTGGATTTCACCAGTGATGACTTGTGTCTGATGTCACACAAACTTGAAGATCTACAGGCGAAAACTAACAAGTTGGCAGAAGAGGCGAGGCAGCGAAGACGGGACTTCAGGTGAATATAGAGAAGACAGAAGTGATGACGATACCGCACCAACAACTCCAACGACAACAACAAACCCCAGTCACCATCAACAGGAGAAACCTAAAGGAAGAAACCTCCTTCACTTATCTAGGAAGCACTGTTTCAACTACAGGCGGCACAGACAAGGATGTCAAAGTCAGCCAGGATCGGAAAAACAGCAAGATAGGCGTTCATTAGCCTGAAACCAGTGTGGAGATCTTCTGCACTCCTCTCAGCATGTGGAACAACATCCGGAACAACATCAACACCAACCCAGTCAAGTCAGTGCTTCTGTATGATTCAGAGACTTGGCGCGTTACGACAGGATTTCCAATAAACTACAGACA